GATTCCGCAGGATGAGATAAGGGGGAAGAAGAGTCCATTGATTCATTGAGAACCGTGTTCCAGTCGCCCCCTACCAACAGGTACTCAGTGTTGGGGATGACTGCGCTTAATGACTGAAAGAAACTGACTTTGGACACGTGATCAGCAGGTGCATACACTGAGACTATGCACCACTTTTGGTTGTTAATTATCAGAGAGAGCTTTGCCCACCTGCCTTCATTGTCGATTTCAATTTCGGAGATATTGTTACTTAAGAAACTGTGTATCAGAATGGCCACTCCCCCCTTGGTTCCCACAGCGGGGGACCAAACCTGGGGGCCTGACCACCATGTGCCCTGTTCCTGTATTCTGTCCACGTCCAATTTTGTTTCTTGCAACATAATAATCCGGGCCCTGTACTGATGAATCCAGGATTTTAACCGGGTCTATGTTTGCCGTTTCCGTCCACAAGTCCTCTCACATTCCAAGAGGTGACCCTCACTTTAGGCTCCATCCGTCGCTGCGGATGGTACCTGTTGTTGGGTGGTCACTCCGGTGGGAACTTGGCCTGTGGGTGCTGCGAGGAGCACCTCGTTATCTCAGGGGGTTCTGAGAACTTCTGCAAAGGTTCTGGAGAAGACCTTCTTATCCTGGAGGAGAGTGTCATTTATTTCCGTGACAATCTCCCCCCTGATACCGTCTCCAAGAATGGGAATCTGTCGCTCTTCGCTGTTGGCCTTGAACCAGCTGAGAGGGGCCCAATAGAAGCCCTCACTTGCTTTTTGCACATCAACACCTGAGGCTAGATGAGTATCCAAGCAAAGGGCATAAATGGGATAGATCTTCCCAGAAAAGCACCGATTTTGTTGAGTTTGATCAACGGGTGATTTGGAATTGGCCTTACTGCAAATCTGTTTTGCAGAAGGTGTGCTCCCATTCTGAATAGATCCAAATGGTCTGGTGGGGCCTGGAGAGAGCCATATGGGATATTGTATCCTCCTTGTTCGTTCACGCGAAGAAGCAAGAAGGGTCCCTGGTTAGTATTCTTGAACAGCAGTGGGATAGCCACGTGGGAGCCTGTGGTTTGGCCCCTGGGGACAGTCTGTTTATCTTGATTGGCTGCCAACTCCTCTTCGAACGCCTGTGGGTGTGACCTCTTGGGTGATACGCCTGTTCTAAGGGCAGTGTCAATAGCCATATCTGATAATCTTGAACCTGTCGTTCCAGCGGCAGGGGCAGGGGGTATCCCATTGGTGCCCCCCTGCTGCTTGGGCAGTCTACCATCCTTGTGTACACCTGCCTGCGTTGAGGTACCGGGACTGTTACCATCTGCTGCTGATGCTCTCTTCCATTGTTGGACTTTCTGCGTCCATGAAATTCCACTAGGACCGGGTGTCGATTTCATAGCGGAGGCTGTTGAAGATTGCCCCAGCTGTGAGGGAGTGTATCAGCCAGACCTGTCCTGTTTCTGCTGGCTACGGGATTGGTGAGCTGGTTGCTTACGGTTCCCCCCCTTGAAGGAGCGCGTTGGGACATGTGTTTCCTGACGTGCAGAAGATCGCCTGTCCTGGCGTGCATGGGCGGCAGGGCGAGGGGTAGTCGTTGCTATGCTTGCTCCTGCGAGGGGAGGAGGTAACAGGATGTCCCCCTGGCCCAATCCCCCATCCAACAGAATGGTTCGCTGGGCGTCGGGGGTTGCTGCTTTCCTCTGTTGGTTCTCAGTTTCTCCCTCTGTGCACAGGCATTCCTCCGGTTGTCTGATGAACCGGTTGCATCCTTTGCACCAGGGGTGGTTGCTGTTAACCAAGTCCCCCGTCAGGAATTCAGTGCCCGTGAAAACCTTGATAGATCTGACAAATTTTGCCTCTGCGTCAGGATGAAGCTGGTATTTCAAATTGGCCGATTTGGGGTCGATTGGATCACTGACCACATCAAATTTTTTGATGATTTTCCCCATGGTATTCTCAATCCCAGATCTAATGTAAAAGGATGCATTGATCGAGAATAGAGTGGCCATGACCCAATATGTGTTACACTTTTTTTCTTCCCTATGTTGAATCCATTCTGCCCGTGGCATCCACGGGCAGAAGAGGATTTTGTACGTCTTGTTTTTATCAACAAAACGTTCAATTCCTCTTGCGAGCAGACATTCCACGATCTCAGGGACTTTCGCGACGTAAGTTAGCTGTATCTTGCTCTCGATATGAACCAGACCACGATGGGTCGCGAGCTTCTCAGCGGGAATTAGTGCATCTTCCAGCGACTGGACCAGATCAATCTTTGTGTCATTCTTCATGTTTTTTGCCTCCCCCTGAAAGAGGGCAGCAACTGCCATTGTCTTCAAAAATTCTTCCTCCACTGCCCTAATGTTATCGTTAGGGCGAATCTCCAAACAACTGTTTTCCTCGTCAACTGTGGCCTCAATAAACTCAGATACGTCTTGGTTGACGTGGTTAATATACCATCCACCAACCAAGTCCACCAAGCGAGCTATTTCTTCCCCAGACATTGTTGACAGGACTGAGGAGGGGAGCCCTTCGTTTACCCCCTGGTGTAGGGAGGTCGAAGTACCCTCCATGGTCAAGATTCAAGTTTCGGTTCTTTCGGCCTAAAAAATTCAGTGTCCACTTGAATAATAAAAATAATTGACTACCTCGTGGTAAGTAAGGGATAATTAATAAAGAATATAGAATAAAGAATGCCCTCGTAATTGATAACAAATGTAAAAATCACCCGTTTTAACAAATTAGTTAATTATTAAGAGTAAATAATTGATACCACGGGGTAAAGCACAGTGAGGTATGCACTTCGTCGGGTGCGATACAGATACGTTGTTCTCCCCTCGCTGTTGTTAGGGTAGAACACAGTGAGGTATGCACTATACGTGCGGGGTAATAAGGAGCTGGGAGAGGGGATAGATGGGAGATAAGTGTAGTGAGATGTCGGGTGACCTTTCGGGGTATGGAGACCGAGAGTAAGGATGACGGGTTAGCTCTAGTACCAGTTGTGAGGGTGGGGGGGAGACAGTATGGGTTGATGTCGGGGAGGGAGGGGAGGCGGGGATGGGGAGTGATGTGGTCAGGTAGGGCAAAAAGTCGAATACTAATCGGGGTGGTGGGACGGGGAAGGAGGTGGTGGATGTTATGGATGTGGGCGGTTCCGTGGGCAGGTGTAAGGATGTCTTTTCGGGATAGAAGGTAGAGCACTGTGGGATATACACACCTACATGTGGGGCAGTGTGAGGTTTGAGGGCGGAAGTCGGTATAATAGCCGGTCGTGCTATAATCGGGAAGTCGGGTATTGTGAATGTGTGCAGTTACTGCGGGTATGTACGGGAAGTTAGGTCATGATAAACTTGACGGCCGGTGTAAGATAGTATTGGGAGCGCACACTCTAAAGACGGCCTGTACAACTCAAGATGCTGGGGTGGGGAGGAGGGGGGAGGGGGTAGGGATTTGGTGAGGGAATTATAAGAGTGAATGTGAGCGAATTCCGTGGACAGATACATGAAACTAAATTTCAAAGAAGGAAACGCCCCGGCGATTATTATTGCTGAAACCGAGGCGCTGTAGCAGGGCCGACAGGACGAATAGAGAAAAGAAGGAGTTTTACTACACTGTAGAGGAAATTGCCAATAATAGGATGGACCGAAGTAGAGAGCAAGGGTGAAATAAGTTACTAATTACAGAGTATCGGATCAGGCCAAAAATGTTAAATTTGGCCAGGGATTGAACCACCTTAGGGCGCTGAGGACTGTCAACTTGGGGAGAGGATAATAATGGACTGATACCTGACACTGACCGAGGATCGCCGATGCATCACCGAACAGAAGTGAAGACTTGAATCGTGTGGGGCCACACAGTTGTTGTCGCAAGATGACCGTATCGCTGTAGCGGAACGCCCCTTCCCTGGGCGTCACGTTGGTAAGAATTGGTAAGCAGACAAGTAGGAGACTGTAGACTTGAGTTCGAAAAGAGCGATGGGGTTGGGACCGGCCACCACACGCCCTACCCTACCCGGGGTAAGAATCACCGGGTTTTGTGAGGTAGGCGCGTTTCCCCTTACTTACCGACGAAGGATGGAGAGGCTGGCTATGGTGGATTACCACGGTAAGCACAGGTACCGCGCGACGGCGCAGATGCTAGCACAAGAATAGCGGAGCATCGCTGGAGCGCGCGCGGTCCCCCCGGGTTACCTATTTTCGATTCTAGGGAGTTAGTACTAGTATTTCTTCTAGTGTTTTTTTTTAGAGAAAACTACGGCGCAGTCAAGGCTTGAGTTTGTAATTGCACTTGAGGCAAAAGGGCCGGTAATGCTGAATGTATATGACCTACGTTTCGGGTCCGGTGGGGTCGCACGGGGGTGTGTTGTATTCGCGGGATTGCCTGAAGTGCAATTACAAACTGTTTTCGTGACTGCGCCGAAGTTACCCCTTTTTTTTAAGACTAATTTTGCAGTCTTTTACTCTAGGATATATAGTTGCTTCGACTATTGTCTTATGCTGCCTTCTCTCTTGTTCTTCTTCTTCTTCTTCTTCTTCTTCTTCTTCTTCTTCTCTTCTCCTTTTTTCTCCCTTCATTTTTTTCTCTCTTTTTTCTCTTCTTCTTTCTCTTCTTCTATGGTTTGTTGAACGGCTTTGGGGCTCGTTCGACACTCCTCGGGGCGTCCTCGGGCCCCGAGGACGATTCCTCGGAGTCGGCCGAGGAAATTGTCGCCTTCGTTCCACTCATCCTCGGAGTCGACCCCCGAGGACGATTCCTCGGGGCTCCCGCGGCCCCGATTTATATACGTATAGGCAGACGCGGGGGTGGGGCTGACGGTGGTCCACCAAGTTGTGTCCGTGCGGACCGCGGTGGTCCACCTTTGTTGGCCGTCGCGAATTGGAAGGAGGGCGGGAAACAAAAAAAAAACAAAACCGGGGCCCTTGAAAATGGCGCGTAGCGCTCCTGTTCAAAATTTGAAATTTGAAATCAGGCTTTGCGATCGGCGGCGCGTGGAGGACGTACGTTTCAGGCGTGGTTGCGTCTGCGTCTGGCATTCGTGTCGTTCGCATAAGTGACAATTGTCCCCTGCGGTTGTCGTCGATGAGCACGGTCATTTACGCATCGGCGGCAAGGGAGACGACATCGAAACGTGAGCGCTGGGAAAGGCAGACGACCATCGTCAGTGCGTGGCTCCCAAGATATTGCACAGCCACCGACGCTGTGATCTTGCGCGTGGCGGTGTTTGTGGAGTCCAGTTTGAATCTCGTGATGTCATCGGAAGCGGCGTCTGGGATGGACGTTGACGGCGGGGCAGGGCGCGGTGGTTTGATGACGGCGGAGAGGACGGCTATTGCTGCGGTGGTTAATGTCGTCCTCTTCCGCTGCCAGATGGCGAGCAATGACGCGAACTTCAAAGCGGCTGTTCGTGCACGGCGCAAGCTCATGGCGCTTCCGACGACTGGGCAGTGCTTGGATGTGGCTGCCATTTCCGACGCGGTGCTGGAGGTCTGCTACGCGATGGGGTGCGGGGGGTTTCCACGGGCGACTCCACGGTGGTGGGTGAAGCGGCGAGCCGGCGGCACGTGCGAAGATCTGCAGCAATGTGATGACGCCACGGATGATTACTTCAAGGAGAAGCTTCGAATGTCGCCTCGTGTTTTCCGCGAGATCGCGGAGACTCTTTCCCCACTCCTTGAATGCCGTGTGACGTTCTACAGGGTGCCTTTGCAGCCAGACCACATCATTGCGTATGCACTGCACAGGTGGGCGAAGGGGGAGACGTACGACAGCGGGACATGTAGCTTCGGCATCGGGAGGGCTTCTTGCATCACGGCGGTGCGTGACGTCACGGCGGCGTTGCTGACTGCTTACCCCGACAAGATATCATGGCCCATAGGTTTGCAGAAGGCGGTCGTGTTGCGCGCCTTCGCGGACAAGGGGTTTTCAAACTGCCATGGGTGCATCGACTGCACACATATCTACATCGACAAACCTGCGAACGCCAACGGTGAGGACTAATGCGACAGGAGACGTCGATTCTCCGTGCAGGCGCAAGTGGTGGTCGACATGAACTTGCGTGTGCTGGACGTCTTCGTCGGTTATCCGGGGAGTGTGCATGACATGAGGAACCTGTCGAGTTTGTGGGTGCGCGCGGAGTCAGGACAACTTTTCACTGGCCCGCATGTGATGCTGCCTTTCGGTGTGCAGACTAATGGCTACTTGCTCGACGACAATGGTTATCCGCAGTCGGAATGGATAGTCATCCCTTACGGCGGTCTCGCGCAACACCCGACGGAGGCACGCTTCGACAACAAACAGAAGACGACCAGGGGAGCAGTGGAGAGGGCGTTTGGCAGACTGAAGGGGATGTGGAGGCTGTTCCTCCGCACCCACAAGTGCAACATGGACAGCTTGCCGCAACAATTCGTCGCCGTCTGCATCCTCCACAACATACTCATCGACGTTGGCGTCCCGTTTGACGACAATCTGCTGTGGGAAGTGGGTCCAGACGGCGTGCGTCGTAAAGTGGATCTAGGGATGCATCAGCCATTGAGGCCAGTGTGCATGGAGTCTACGACGGGGGACGCGCTGATATTGAGGGACGCGTTGGCGGGGCGGATGATTGCACAGTGAGGTTGGCCGTGTTCGCAGTTGGAGACCCCGCCATGAATGGAACGAGTCTGAGGGACGAAGCTGTGGGAAGCGGGGGAGCACCGAGGAGATCCGGTGGCGGGAGGAAGTGGAGGTGGACGTCCCACAGCAAGAGGCGGTCGACGATGGCAGTCCGGCCGTGGTAGCGTCGTTCGAGCGAGATGTGGCCGGCGTGTCTCGCATGGTCGGKGCGGTTAGTTGTCCAGTGTTGAGTGCCGACAACTAGCTTATGTGCGCTGTCGCTTGGTTTTTAGTTTCTTTTTTGTATTTTTTATTTGTTTTTTTTTTCTTTTTTTCCTTGTCCATGGACAGGGAGTACGAGCAGGTTAGCGTTATTGTTCGCTCAGGTAGTATAGTTGGTGCTTGCGGATATTGCCGTTATGGCGGGTGCGCGTGACGGGGTTGCATGTTCCATGCATGCAATGTGCAGTACTTATGATGACGGGGGACGACGGGCGAGAGGGGGGCGGGAGGAGGGTGGGGTGAGGGGTTTGATTGGAAACAATGCAACGTTCCTGGTACCTGGAAATGCTTTCGCATTCTAAGGGGAATCCCTTTTTCAGATTTGAGTTTCCTTCGCTCACAATGTTGTATGCCAAACCCAGTTCATTCCGCATTTCTCTTGTTGTTATGTTGAAGGGAACTGCTATTGCATGGGTTTGCAACACAGTTGTTTTGTATATTATAAATTATATTTTTTTGTTTTTTGTTTTTAGGAAAGGAAGGCGGAAGGATGGATTGGACGTTCGATACGCAAGAAACATGATGCATAACTTTGTTGCCA